ACAACTGACCGTACATCTTCACGAGAGGGTCTGCCCATCTGCTGGGGGGTCTCCCTCTGGACCTTGTTTTTTTCCCCTTGGGTACCAGTCAGTCACTCTCTTCGTCCAGCGATCATCGGTAAGTCTAGCCACATGACCGGCCCACCTCCGCTTGGAATTATAGATGGCATCGACGACGTCCTTCACCATCGTACGAGCGCGGATGGTGTCATTGGGTATGCGGTCTCGGAGCGTTACCCCGCACATGGCCCTCTCCATGGCTCGCTGAGTGACTGCGAGTTTCTCCTCTTCAGAGACTGTGGTGCTCCACGTCTCCGCCCCGTAGGTCATCGCGGGAAGAACATGCGAGTTGAAGACGTGAGCTTTGACCCGGGGGTCGACGTGCTTAGAAGTTAGTACATCTCGAAGTTTATTGAACGCGGTCCAGCCCGCTCTGCGGCGTCGGTGTGTGACAAACGCCGAAATCGGCGCGGGCGCCGATGTGTTAAAACCACGGAAAGCATATTCTTACTGCAAATATAGAACTGAGCCCCAGAAGGGGACTCCCCCCGATTCATAGGATTAATTCTAAATGCTCTTCTTCTTCTTATTCTTCAGCGTTTGTCCCGCTTGTTGGCGGGGTCCGCTTTTCTGATGTGCTGACGCCACTTTTCCCGATTAAATGCTTGGTCGGGGTGGATGTTAACCAACTTCAAGTCTGCGTGCAACGTATCGAGCCAGCGCTGTTTCGGGCGCCCCTTAGGCCGCTTTCCGGGCACGTCTAAGTTGAGGCCGATCTTACGAACACTGTCATCATTTCCGCGAAGAACATGACCATACCATCGAAGACGAGCTTCGCGCATTTTATCAGCAATGGGAGCTACACCAAAGCGTTCTCGTATGACATCGTTCCGAATGCGATCTAATCGCGTGACACCAGCCGTCCAGCGCAGCATCTTCGTCTCCATTACACCGAGGCGAGTTTCAGTGTCTTTAGTCGCTGGCCAGCACTCAGCGCCGTACAATGCCACTGGTCTTATGACGGTCCTATAGATCTTCGATTTGAGGCGTTCTGGGATTTTCTTGTCACAGAGAACTCCCGTCATAGAACGCCACTTGGACCAAGCCGCACTCACACGCGAGTTCACCTCAGTACTCATACTGCCATCAGACGCAATTGCTGATCCAAGGTACTTGAATGTCGTTGCACGTGTCAGCTCTAGTACCATTTATTTTGATAGAACCGCACTCGCTCGTGTCGGTTGTCAAGTACTCAGTCTTTTAACGTTCAACCTGAGTCCGAACATCGCTAGGCGATCGGACCAAGCTTGCACTTGTTGCTCGAGTACGTTTTTGTCTTCGCAGGCGAGCATCACGTCATCAGCATAGAGAAGCGTCCATGGAGCCGGTTTCTGAAGATCTCGTGAGATGGCATCCATGACGACAACAAAAGGAGTGGGGATAGCGCAGAGCCTTGATGTACCCCAACAGAGATGGGAAATTCCGTCGAAACGCCAGCTGACGTTTGCACTCGGCTCTTTGGGCTCGAGTAGAGCATGCGAACCCACTCAATAAGCTCTTCGGTATATTATTTAATAATATACATAATATACCGAAGAGCTGATAATAAGCATGCGAACCCACTCCAATAGCTCTTCGGTATATTTGGTATAGCTCATATTATGTCGCCAGATGCTCCATCGTGGCGACATAATATGGTCAAACTAGAGATGTGCAAGACAAATGCGTGCACAAGTGGGAAGAGGGATGGGGTACAATGAGGAAGTCATTCCCCTAGCAATTGATTAATCTTCGT